TTTTAATAATAAAATGCAGAGCCTACAACCAAGGTGTCATACAAGTAACAGTTCTCATTCAGATCCCAGCTCAACCAATAGACTCGGAAGAATTTTCCTCCAGTCCCATTCATAGATGAAATAGGGCACCACGAAGTAACCAGCAAAGGACCAGGTTTTTTGCTTTGCCCAAGCCCAAAGGCCCCCAAGCTAAGCAGCTCTCCTTGCCTGAGGAGGTCTCAAAGTCCCCACCAACCACCCCCAAGTGTTTAGCTAACACTGCCACACACACACACACACACACACACAGTAGGAGGTCTGAGCAGTCACCAACTCCTGCCTCCAGAAGCATATAAGGCGTGTAAGTCTCAGTCCCAGATCAAAGGTCTGTGGCCAAAATCACTTTCAGGACAGTGCATGAAATCAGAAGCAGATGAAAATTTCACTGCCTTTTCAGAGAATCCAAAGCAGCCAGTTTTCCCAGGTCAGACTTTTCCTACAGATGACTGAAGACGTGCCATAAAGTCCCAACTGTTGCCCCAAAAGACCCACTTAAAATTAAAGACAAGATAATCATTTAAGAAGCCTATAAGGCCATTATGTGATTAGCAGGCTAGAAGGGGTGAGGGATCCTGGTGCTTCCCCATCTTCACAGGGAGCAGCCTGCAAGTGGAACCAGCGGCAGTCAGCAGGGCCCAGGGGGGGAATGGGGGGACACATGTTCTTCCACCCAGCTCCTCCCTTCGTGGAAGCCTCTACACTGACTTCAGGGAAGGAAGAAAATGGAAAAATCTTGGAGGTGGCACAAAATTCAAAGAATGAGCAGCTGAACCACCTAAGACCTCCGCCCACCCTCACCAGGACACAGGAGGCCAGCTAAGTCCTCTCTGGAGGGGTGCACATCAAAACCCTCAGGCATTAATCCCCGTGTTGACAAGACTGCATGGTGACCCGCCCGTGGGAAGGAAGAAGGGCTCACCCAAAAGGCAGATTAAGCCCAGGCACTTTGCTAAGAGGCCCTGTCTGGGGTTAAAACCAACAAAACAGAAGTCTTACTCTGTAATGGAGCCAAATTTGCCACTTAGCAAACTTTCGGTGTCTCTTTTTCCATTTTTTATTCATATCCTTATCCTTGCAAAAGCAAGAAACTCCAGGAATTAAGAGTGAAAGAAGAGTGAAAACATCAAAGGAAAAATCACCTTCAAGAGTTACAAAGAAGCAGACAAGGCCCCTTCTTTGGGAAAAGAACCTTCTAGAAACACGCCCGTCACTGCTAGACCACTCACCACCTTGTCCTTACCTTCCTGTCCCCTTACCCAAAGAATGAAAACCAGAAACAAAATTCGAGCTGCCCCACTGCTTATGCAGCTGTAGGCCAATGCTGCTGTCAATCCCTGGGTTCCCATCCACACAGGAGCCATTTACCATTACAGCGGCAGGGGGAAAGCCTTCTACCATTTGATTGTCACTTCGCACATGTTCCGAGGGAACAATCTGGCAGCCAACTTCAAGTCATGTAGAAAAGAAATTTGACAGTTGTTGATTTTGTAGTTTTTCTCCTTAATCTGGATTTTGAAAGTGGCTTGCCAAGGAGCCAAGATTTTTGCCTGGGTCCCTCCCTCGGGGCAGTTTGACTCAAGCTTAGCTTCTGTGTGTTTGTTTCTCAATTTGAGTAGCATAAGGACTCAGGACACTGTACTTTGGACGGAAAAGGCACCCTTTAAAATGTGACTGAGACTGGCTCCTGCAAAGGCCTTCCCTTGCCTGGATTCTATTAAAATGGGTCTCCCATTCCCTGACTGCAGTTTCTATCCCCAGCAGGGGATGGTGGTTCTGAGTTGTTCTGTGACTTCTAACCACCACCATTACAACCAAATTCTCATACTAGGGCATGCAGACACCCCTGTGAAGTTCACGCTAATGGAATCTGCCTTCTGTTGTGTTTTTATGGTAACGCCCCCATCCTGGTTAATTACACCAGCCTTGGGAACTAGAGGCTGCCAGTTGTATTAGGGACACAGGCCAGGCTAAGAGCACGCAACCATTTTAAGAACAAATGAAAGCATAAACTACAACACCTACTCTGCCTCTGCAGGTTAGTGTCAAGGTGCACCATCCATGGGGCTTAAAGTTTCTTCAGGCCAGAATCACGGTCACTACTTCAAGATGAGACTAAACTTTTCGGGTTAAGAAGCAAGCTAGCTGCTCCATGAAATGGGTGTAACAGCAACTCACTTTCTTTCCCTTCTAGTAATTGCAGCCATTCCCTACACTTCTATAAAATGTTGTCACTTAAATATTTACTTTTTAACATGAGACTGTTTCAACTCTGCAATAAAAATAATGTCTTAAGTAAGGGCCTGCTTTGGGCCCTCCAGTATTTCTAGATGCTTGACTAACAGTAGAGAAGCAAAATTTTAAAAAAATAAATATTTTTTTTAAAAAGCCCCAATGCCCAATGCCCAAAAGGAACAACAGCACCCAGTGATAATAAGGACACCCTCCCTGGCACCACTTGGGACCCAAACTGAAGGAACCAAGCTGTATCATCACCAGCCCCAGGTAATACTTTGCTAATAATCTGCAATCACAGATTTATTCCAATGAACTAACAACCTGTCACCCAAGGTGAGCCAGGCCTGTCCTGGGAGTGTCTAGTGATCATCATTTAAAGTCATAATGATGAAAACTGAAATCTCACTCACTTTAGCTCCTTGCCACTGAGCAGTCCAATTGGCGTTGACTTTACACAACAGTTAAATCCAATCCCAAAGCAGCAAGAAGGCAGGCACTTCACTGTCAGGGTGGGATGAGCCAAACAGAGGCCTGCAGACAGTACTATTTTATTTGGGTCCTTTTCACTCTCCCTGAGTATATTCATTTGTGCCACTAACAGACAGAAGGGAAGAAACCAAAATCAAGGTTTCAGGTAGTTGGGGAGGCAGTTCAGATTTTTTTATTTCGGAAGACTTAGCCAGTGTTTCTCAACAGTTCCCTGTCCATCAAAACCATTTTCAGGAGAACTGGGAAATAGCAGCTCTATCCCGTAGGAAGCAAAGCCATTTCAAAAGAGAATTGGGAAAGGGAGGTGACCTGTGCCATAAAGATAGAAGGTCTCCGAGTCACTTAACTCCTTGTGATTCCAAAGGACTGTTTCTAAAGTGTAGAAGTGCTTGCTTCTGCATCTGCCCCATGTTGTTAAATAACACTTGTGTAATTAAATAAAAGAGCCAAGTGTGACCCTAGCCCATTCTGAGAGGCACTTACACGCTCTCTGAAAACATGCTGGAAACTAAATGCAGACAATCTCCTTAGTCCTGTAATTTAAGGACGAGAAAGAAGAAAAGTTTCTCTTGGCCTCCACAGCCACACACACCCTGTGGGGTCTCTGGAAAATAGAACGAACACAAATACAGGTGTGCAAGCATCCAGGTATGTACCTCTCTCCACTGACCACCATTCTTGAAACCCTTACATTACTTAGAACCATGTACTCCTGACTTCCCTCACACCCCACCTCTGTTCTCTAATTGCTTTTCACGTTTAGGTCGGTTAACTAGAAGGACTCAGAATCACGGGCTGCCAGTGGCTATCCTGATAACAAGTAACAGTCCCACATTCCAGCCTCGGCCTTGCTCGATCAGGTTACCTCGGAAGGTGGATGCGTTCCTCACAAACACGCTCTCTGCCACAGCACTCAGGCTTCCCTCTCCAGCCCAGCCTCCTGCAACTAGTGATTTTTAGGGTTTCCCCTTGAAACCTATCCAGAAACCACAGCCATTAAAAGAACACGAAGGTTTGACACCTCCTGAATTTAGGAATGAGGGGACTCCAGGGGCCAGCTCTACAAACTCGCACCTGCTGCTTGACGGCAAAGAAACAAAGTTCCCCAGCTAGCATGAGCTTTAAATTATACTCTATTTATTTAGTGACTTGTCTCCAAGGATCTCAAAGCATGGGATGAAATGACATGACATGGAACTTTCTCACTATCTACCTTCAAAGCTTATGTTTGTTTTCTTTGCTTTGCCTTGATACATTCCACCAAGCAGGCCCCAGCCTGAGGGAGAGGCCCTGTCCCTGTGCCCAACTGGGGCCCTCTGTCCTCTCTGAGCTTATCCGTCACTGGCTTTTAGAGTCTTTGAGGCCTATTAAATGCCACAAATAGAGGGTAGGGGAAGTGGTGGCCCTCCTGGATTCACCTGCTCGCTGGCTTCATCTAAAGTGGTTTATACACCGTGCACCACTGTGCCAGGCAATGCGACTCTTGGAACACATTGTGCCCTGGAGGTGTTTTCCCAACCTTACAACACAGGTATGTCCAAAGCAGAGAGAACCATTTTCCAGAAAGTTCTTTTCCTTCTGTAAGCCTACAAGGACTGCTTTTTTTCCTTCTTTTCTTTCTGCTACAGACCTAACTTGGGTATTCTGCCTCCTTTAACAGGACAAACAGCGTAGCTCTCTCTCCACCACCCCTCCTCACGGAAATGAATGCTGCTCTGGTTTCTCCAGGGTGCGACAAACTAAAACGAAAGGGTGGACACGTCCATCTCCAAAGGTGCCTTCCAGCTCCCAACTCTGATTCTCCCTTTAATTACTCCACAGCGAGCGCATTCTTCACATTGTTTCCTACTGACCAGTGACTTCTCTTGGGCTGAAAAGGGTGCATTTTTAGGCAGAGGAACCCAAACTTCTCAGTGACACTAGCCCTACAAATATTCAGAAGGCAGGGGAGAAACCAAAGGCAAAATAAGGAAGGAAGGAAGGAGGGAGGGAGGGAAGGGAGGAAAAACGGAAGGGGAGGGAAGGAGGAAAGGCTTTCACTCTGTGCCCAGTGGAATTTAGACGTTCTCACCCCAGGTAGGTTCCCACTGAAGTCTAGGAGTTCAAGTGCATCCAGCCTGCCCTTCCCCCACATGCCCCAAGAGGATGGGAAGTTCAGCCAAGACTCGCAGCACCTGCCTGCAGCCCTAGGCCGGCTGCGCGAACCGGGCGGGCCGGGGGGAGGGAGGCTCACTCACCTGGCACACAAAGGCTCCGCACGCCTCCGGAGGGAGGAGGCTCTCGCAGGTCCGGGGGCCGCGGCGTGCGCCACAACGGGAAATTCCAGCAGCACCCGAGCCCCGAACTTACCCACCCCAGGCGGCATTCTGCCCCCCTCCCGCCGCCCCCGGGGCTCCGAGGTGGCTCTGGCAAGGCGCAAGGGGGCCGCACACAGGGGAAGGGGGCTCATGGTGGTGGCCGGGGCTGGCGGTAGCCCCTCCCCGGGAGGGACGGTCCCCGGCGCCCGGCGGGGATTCACCCACGGGGCGCGGCGCTCGCGTCCCCGGCCCGGCCTGCCCGCCGCGGGCTCGGCCGCCCGCCCGCCGCCCGGAATCGCTTTATGTAAATGAAGCTCAACTCGCAGTTCGCAGCGCGCACCGCCCGGGGAAGGGGGGCGGGCGGGGCGGGGGGCCTTCGGGGATCCACATTACACAGCAACAAAGCGGAAGGTTAATTTGAAACTCACAGCCCCGCCACCGCTCGGCTCCCCGGGCAAAGCCTGACATCTACAGTCGTGCCGGGCGCAGGCCGGGTGCTCGGCGGTGGCCGCGCCCGCGGGGACACGGGGACACAGGGGCGCGCGAGGCCCCAGCGCTCGGCCGCGCTCCGGGCACGGGCCTCTGCGCAGGCCGGGCCGCGCGCCCCGGGACCGGCCCGGCGGGAACAAAGCCTGGTCCTCCCCAGGCGCTGACCCCTCACTCAGCAGAAGTCAGGGCCGGCGAGAAGAAAGGGACGCGCCCTCGGCCGCAAGAAAAGAGCCTGGGGCCTCCGAACCGGAGCCATCGGCCTCGGGGCCCCATCCACGTCACAGCCAGGCCACTCTAGCATGGGGACATTAGCCAATGTGGACAGGAATTTATTTGAAACACACACCCATCCCATGAACTGCTTTACTGAGCACTTCTGTTTTTCAGCTGCAGAACTTCTTATAAAAACATCCCCTGCTTTCCATTGAGAGTTTAAGGATACAGTATTTCACGGAGAGAAAGAGGGAAGTAAAAGTAAGGAAAGAAGTCGCAGTTTGCAATTAAGCTTACAGTCTCTTGTACAAGCCTCGCCTTACAAAGCCACATCGTTTCAGATACGGCATAGATCATGCCCTCCGTAGGGAGATTCCACGGCTGGGTCAAATTTAATGCAGCCACCGTAGTTGGTCAAAGCAACTGCTGGACATTTTTATATCTCCCCAGGTTCACCTTTTCCATTCTGATACGCAAAGGCAACACCACAGAAATCTCACCGGAAGTCCCCTGTCCTCCCTGCCAGAATCCCACGCTCAATCCGAATTTACTCCCGATTCTCTCGGTACTGAAAGGCACCTGCTTTTACCCTATCTGAAAGCCACCCACCCAGGCTGGCCCTACAGCCTTGAGAGTCCTTTCCGACTGCACAATAATGAACCATGCAAGTGTTAGAAATATAATAAGCTCACGAGGCGGAGAGCGGTAGGTATGGAATCGTATTAGCATTAAGCACACGCTGGTGCAGGAGGAAAGAGGATGCCTGGCTGAAAATTATCACGTTCCCATGTATAAAGCACTTGACACAATATAATTTGGGTTCAAATTAACGTAAATACCTAACCTTTTGGGGACAAACAAACCCCCTGTACATTTTAGTCCAGAAAAGAGACTCAGATTTTTTTTTTTTTTCCCAGCTAGGGCCCTGGGAGAAAAGACTGCCTCTAGGGAATCATGTCCGATTAGGGACAAAGGAGAGCACAAGCCAAATTCTGTCACACATGAGAGAGTGGGGGCAGGAGAGGGGGAGTCGGGCGTGGGGGGTGGGGTGGAGAGCCAAAAAGCAGAGCGGAGGATGATTTGGCAAACCCGAGTATGAGCACTGCAGAGCTGTCCCGACAGCCTAATTCAGCCCCAAGAACAGGTGGTGTTCTCAAAACACACTTTAACGTTAGCCACATAAGTTGAGACTACCTTAAAGAAAACCAATTAATAATTTAATTGAAGAAGTGACTATGAATAATACATGAAGATGATGATGCGAGCAATAACGCAAGTAACGTGGCACGCACAACGCAGAGATGCCTCTGGAAAAACCCTCAGCAAAATGAAGACTCCAGTCCCTGATGTGTTACCTGGAAGCAACCCACAGCCCAGCGATAAATGAAAGACAAAAAGAAAAGGTTTATGCTCCCAGAAAATCTAATTTTGCTCCTTTATCTTCACTTCTATTAACAGGGACAACCTCATGATCTGGTGACATCATGAACCCAGTGGGCTGACAGATAAATACCTTCAATAAGACAAAAGCTAGGAAGTCCAAAGAACCAGTATAGTCATCTGGAAGGATGCAGAGGTGCTGGACAGAAGGCCCTGAGGGGATCTGTCCTGAAACTGCCACTGTCCCAAGAGGCAGACACTGCAGGCTGCCTCCTGCACCGCGGAGGGCTGTCAAGCAGAATTGAGACTGACCCTGGGTCCCTGGGTCCCTTTCCTTTATCTCAGTCCAGCACCAGCTACTCACACGATGAGGCCTGGGCAAGCCTGCCTTTGTCACAGGCACAGATTTAACAGGTAATCCACAGGCAGGTAACCTATGTCCTCTGTGTCATTACGAATATAAAGGATTATACCAGAGCTGGGGTGCTGTCCCTACCAAAACTTATTTTTATCATCAACAAAAACAATACCTCTTCAGAGGGGATTTGAACCTTATGCACTTACATGTGGAATCAACAGTTTTTCTGAAATACATGTGGCAAATTCTATCCTCCAGCTCTTCGGAGGGCAGCTGCCAGCCCTTAAACACATGGCCTACCCCACAGTGAGAACCCAGCACTCTCATCCCTCCATTCTGGACACTGTCGACAAATAAACCCACTCTCAGAAAAGGCAGTCCTTCCCACTTCCAGTTCTCCGTAACTAGTCTCATCTCATCTGGAAAGCGTAATTGGCAACAGCCAAAAGAATAAATATTTAAAAATGAACCAGGGAATGCTAACCTCTCCTTACTCCGCCCCTTACCCACTCTCCATGCCAGAGGCCAGGCCCCTAGCACTTTGCTGGCTGGTAAATCACAATGATCCCGACCAAACCAAACTGGCTGGGCTCTCTCCCCACATACACACTCACTTCCACTGCTCTAGCCTTTCGCTTCAGCAAAGGTAAATATGATCTCTGAGCTAGCATACGGTGAATGTCAGCATTCTGACTTCTAGCTAAACCTGGGCTCTATTTTCACAGCAGAACTGGGTTTTGGCAGATTTGTATATTCTTCCAGATCCTGCTATTTTTACTAAATTATACATACACATTGATTTTAAAATTAGTGTTCAAATAAACCTTCAGGCTTTAACAAAGAAAAAACCAGAAGTGGGCAAACACAAAGCCCCTGAATAAATAAGGAAACATTTGGAGCTTAAGTGCACTCCATGTCCTGAACTCATCCCTTCATTTCCAGGCAGCTATATTTTGGGGCCTGGTACCCACTGGGTGACTAGCCCTCCTGGGTATGGAAGGCAGTGCAGGCTTTACCCAGAGCAGCCTAGCCCACTCACACCTTCATAAGCAGTGGAGGCTGGTGGGCTAAGGCCCACACATGGATGTTTTGCTTCACATTTCTCTGACACAGACCTCAAGGCCTCCATCTACTGCTATAACACTAATTCCACAGATATTCACCCCCAAAGTGTAGGGTGGAATATTATCTAGTTTACTTACCCACCCTCCCCAGCTCAGACCCTAAATCTGTCAGTGACACATGTAGGAAACCCCAATGAGTAACCATTTTTTAAAAACTATGATTGGGAAGAGCTCTTCCAAACTGATTTTAAGTTACAAAGCCCAAGCTTTAAGAGAGCAAAAAATAACTTGCCTTGAAACAGCTTTAAAACATTAGGTAAAGAGCTTGCTCTTTCTTTTTTTTAAAATAAAAACATTAGTTCAGAAAGGGCAGAGAGTGTTTGCCATGCAAGACTTTTATACCCAGGGGGATTTTTACATTTGTGTTTCTAAACCTTGAAATTGAGAATTTTAATGAAAGAGCAGACACATGCTTAAGGACAGTATCCCAATCAGGGTCCATACATTACAGAAGAAAGGCGTTTTGTTTGGGGCCAGGAAATAGGTGCACTCCTGTTCTGTTCATAGGCCATCCCACTGACACATCCCTTCGCACTCAGTCTTGTGCAAACCACATTCTTGGAAAGAAAAGGGGAGGGGTTATGGCCTCTTTATATAAATGGTAGTTTTAAAAAAATTCTCAACACAGCGTCAATTCCATAGTATGCAACAACAGTTTCCCCTACACATGTGTTAAAACAATCAATGAACTGATATACCAGGGCAAAACCACCAGGAGCACTTTTTTTTTTTTAATGAAGAATTTCATTTGGGTTTGCAATTCTTTCCTATCAAGCAGCCACTTCATAGGGCAGGATACTAAGAGATAAACAAAAGATGACCCTTCTGACACTTCCCCAAAATGATTCTAGAATCCCATTTTCTTATCTTTTCATTTCAGTGCATTTTTGCCCGAAATCTGTTGCTAATCTGACTTAAGAGCTCAGAGCTAAAATTTCACATATCCTCCAAGTCAGCCAGTGTTTTAGAATTTGGTTTTCTATTGAGGCTGATCCAATCGCCAGTGAGGCCTACGGGAAAATGTGCTTCATGCTGTTCCGTTTGTCTCTCTGCAGACAAATAGAAACTGTGAAATTTAAAGAATGGATGAAAAAAAATCTAAAACAAAGAGGTTAAAAAAATAGGACAAATGTTTTTGCTTTTGTGTCTCCCTGCAGCAATTGTCTGGGGGAGTCTGCAGTGACAATCACCATGAGAAGGCCATCTAAAGGCGATGCGCACACAAGGGGACTCCTTGCCTGCTGCCTTTGGTCTGGGAGAAAAAGCACCTTAGCTCCGTTCTCCAGGAACAAAAGGCCAGGGCCACCGAAGGGGGGAGAGGTTACCGGGGCTCTCACATGGAGCCATGTGTCAATGCAGGTTCATTTTTCACCCGTCCTAGTTGGGAAGCAGCTCAGTGAACTTCCTAATGACTGCTTTTCCCTCTCTCCCTATTATTTTTCAGCCTAAAAGAACAAAACAATAATATTTTTCTAAACTTAAAACCTATCATCCTATTAGATGTAAGTCTTGGGGGCCTACACGGTCTGTTTTTTCCTCCTTCTTTCCCCCACCCTATTTTTTTGGTGGGGTTGGGAGGAGGGGGTATTCCAATTGTAGATCACATGGAAATAGGAGACACTGGACATTGCGGTCATTTTTAGTAACACCAGAACTGCCTTTATGTCTGCGAAAAGGCAGGAATAGAAAATTAAACGCAAAAGAAAGAAAAAAAAAAACACTGAATAGGATAGAAGCTGGTACTGGGGAGGCTATGGGGCAGTGCCTGGAAACATTCTCTTTTTTCCACAGCATGAAGTCACTAATGCCAGCTTCAGATTTGCGACTGAATCAAAGTCATCATTACAAGGTTGGTGGTGTTTGGGGGTATTTTTTGTTTGTTTTTGGGGGGATGGGGGGCTTGCATGGAGAAGTGGACAATTAGGATGTATTAAAGACAGATAAGGTGCATGGGGTGGGGGCTGCTTT